TGTCCTGGCCTCCCTGCTCATCTTGTGGCAGCAGAGGAGGTGTGAACTGTCCTTGGAGAACTGTCTTCTAGAAGGGCGCATCATGGAGCACAGGGCCTGTGCACACCTGGGGCTTAGTGCCTGTGAGCCTGGTCTCCCTCCCCTGGAACACTGAGCACTACAAATACTGCGGTCTTTGTGTACGACTTAATTTAGAGAAAAATTTGTATCCCGTGGACATAATGGGAAAAACACCCGTGACCAGTTTGTGCTGCTTGAATTCCCTGCTAGAATGGCTGACAGTCTCCAGTCACAGCAGTAATGGCCTTACTGATGATGTACTGGAACTCCTATCTTTCCAGGTCTTTGACTTTAAATTGAGTGATGAGGAGATGGCAACCATCCTCAGCTTCAACAGAAACTGGAGGGCCTGTAACATATTGCAGTAAGTTGCATGGAGTTAACTAGGAGCATTGCCAGGAGTTTTTCTAAATTGGTAGAGAGTTAGTTAAAAGGATTAGAAGGCTGCTGGGACTACTTGTGTCTTCAAATACAATTTTGGGGCAGTTCTGAAAGTTAAAATTGGGGTGCCTGGGAATCACTGTGATGGACACATCTCTAATTGCTGCTCATTGTCTGAACTTCTGGATGTAGAGCTAGAATTGTAACAGAAGGTGTGTTGTGAATAGGCAGGAAGCAGAGCATTCATTTATTCCTGCATTCAATAAATATCTAGTGGTCCTCTATGTGCCAGGCATCTTCTAGGTGCTTGGGTTATCATACTATGCAAAGCTGCTGCCTCCACGTACTTAGGGAAGGAGGGAAGAAGACAGAACAGAAATAAATCAACTCAAAATTTATGTGTCACACAGTAACAAATGCTAGACAGAAAAATAAAGTAGGGCAAAGTGGATAGGAAGTGGTGGGTGGTAGTGGGACAGATCCTTTATACGGGGTGGGTCAAAGGAGGCTTTGCTGTGAGGGATATGCCATATGCATATTTGGGGGAAGAGCATTCTTGGCATTGATAACAGCAGGTGCCAAGGCCCTGAGGTGGGATTGTGTTTAGAGCATTCAAGCAAGAAGGCCGGGGAGGCTGGATTAAATAATCTCCAAATGCCTCTTAAAGGAGGTGGTGGTAACTCTACTTTAAATGTCAGATAAGTGATTGAAAGAAAGTTTTCACTCTGGCTAGGTGGGAATCCTAAATCATCTCTTTACAATCAATACTTTCTGATTAATGTATCTAATTAAATATATCAAAGAGATTTCTCTGGCATTTATTACTGCGAGGTCTGCAATTAAATAATAATTAGAATTTCTTCCAATGCTTCTGTACCAAAATGATTTTTCAGCTTTTAAAAATGGTTTCAGTATCTCAAGCATAGCTTCCATGTCATGATATTCCATATCTATCCTGCCCACTTTTAGTATCACAGCAGGCTTTCCTCATCTTATAATGGCTTATTTTTATCAGTGCTTAACAAAGTAGCAGCTGCTTACTGGAAAAAGGCAGAGTGAACATAAAATGGGACTCTCCCTCAAACTGAACTGCTGACCTTCCAATGAACATCATTTCCAGTGGAGGCAATGGGTTGGTGGCTCAGGAGTAAGTCCACCTGGCCTCAGATCCAACTCTAACACTGGTTTCTTAGCTGTGTGACATTGGGTAAATTTCCTACTTTTACCAAGTTGGCTTCTTTACCTATAAAGTAGGATGATAATACTAATCGCAGCAAACATCCATTGAACCTTAGCTGAGAATGTGCCAGGGTCCTGAGCCCTTTGCCGGTGCTATTATCTCATTTAATACTCATAATTATCCACAAGCTGTCAATTGTGCTGTGTTTCCTAGCTCATCATGTTGTGACAGTGGATTGGGACAAGACTTGTCAGTTGCCTCACCTGACACCAGGCTTACCATGAGTTGTCATTCCGAGTTGTTTCCAGTACCCTGGTCACTGTCTGTCCTCCTTCCTAGCAAAGCCCTCGTATCGGTTTGAGGGAAGGTCAAGGTGTGAGCACCCTTCTTGTGTTCTTGCAGGGAGGAAGCTGAGAGAGCACAGATACCATAGAGTCCACCACAGAAGAATGCCTTCTCAACTAGAGCTGTTGCTTTGATGGAACAGAGTTTCTCTCTTTTTTTGTTTCTGCAGATCCTCTCATTTGGAGGACTACCCCTTCCATGCAGAATATTGAGGTTGAATCTCCTGGAGACATTACACAGGGGATTCTCTTTCTTCGCTGAAGTGTGACTATCTCCACTCACATCCTATTTTAGCCAAGCTTATCTGAGATCACAGTGAACTTCGTCCTGCTGTAGACCAGAATCGAGGTGCTGTTTTAGACATGTATTTCTGTATGTGCAATGAGGATCAGAGTATCACAGAAAAACATGGCTTGAATAAGCAGAGGACAATTTTTTCCTCTTCTCTGATCTGAACAGATATTTGTTAAGCACAAGAAATTCTGCCAACACTGAGGATGTAAAGATCAATAATAAAAAATAATGATGGTAACCAAGATGGATTGAGAGTAGAGTATGTTCCCACACAACGTGAAGTGTTTTCCTGTGGGG